CCAGCCAGTGGAGGTGCTGGGGGTCAAGGATGGATGGATGGAGTGTGTTCTGTCCCAGAGCGGGAGGAACAAGGTCTGGGAGAGCTGGTCACCGGGCGTTGTCCCGAGTTCTGTCCCGCTGTTCCCTCCTCCAGGGGAAGTGGAACGAAGAAGTAGCCTCCCTGCCAGACTGATCTGGGGGGCGTTCAGACACCCGGAGGGGGGCTGGAGGCAGGAAGGAAAAGGACTGGGGGTCCCCCCTCCCCGAGCATGGGTGGGGGTGCGTGCGGAAGAGCAGGGACAGAGGCTGCAGGACTCCGGGGACACCTGCCTAGACCTGCTGCCCACTCCAGGTCACCGAGCGGAGCGAGCGCTGCTATGAGAACGTCGAGCTGCTGGCGTGCCCCCCACGGAAAGAGTCACCCAGGCGGGCAGAGCTGGAATCTGACACTGTGGTGAGTGCAGGACCTGCAGGCAGGGAAGGGAGGGAGGGGAGGGCCTGGCATGCTGTGGCCGGGAGTTGGGGGGTGGAAGGCTTCTGGGGGTTGTCCATGAATATGGCTCTGACAGTAAAGTACTGCATGTATTAAGTACCGACTGTATATCACCCCAGGGTGAAGCCTGTGACTTCTCAACATTCTGGTCTCGACATCTCTTTGGTATCGACTCTGCTTTTCAGGTTTTCGTCAGTAACCTGCCAACCCTTGGGCAAAGCCCCCTCAGGATAGAATGATGGAATGGGCTGCCTCCCTAGGTTGTGACCCTCCCGCCAGTAGAGGAGTTCAAGCAGCAGGGACCACTTGGTGGGGGAAGAAGATGGGGAGAGGTTTAAGGATCAGACAAGGAGCTGCCCCGGGAGGCCTCCAAGGCTGGCCCAGACCTGTGAGCTGGTTGAACCTGTGACGCCACAGAGGGCTGGCCTCAGGGTGGCAGGGGACACCGTCACTGTGAGGTCTGGAACAGTGGCCCAGCTCCTTGGGATATTTACAAACAGACACCATACCCCTGGGGTGGCTGTTCCCACTGATGCAGGGCAACAGGGAGACCCCGGTCACTAGATTCCTCCTCGGCCTCCCACCAGCTGCCCGTAAGAGGATGAGGGTGGTCTGGGGGTCCATGGTCCTGGTTGACCCCCAGGGCCTTTGAGCAGCTGGCACAGTCTGACTGTACTCTGATGGCTCCTGACCAAGCGTCTGAGGGCCCCTGTGATGGCCTAACTGCTCCTCACATGGCACGTGCTCATGTCTGCCCAGCCGCATGGCCTGGGTCCATCAACAACCTTGTTGATCTAACTTGGTGACTCATGGTTTTAAAGCGGATTGGGGGCATGGTCTTACTCTTCTGCCTCAGCCTTTGGTACAAGGTATAAGTCAGGACTCGTGCCCACGGTACAGTGAGTTCATCAGACCTGCAGGGCCAACGCAGGGTCCCTGTGCGGGCCCGGCTCTACCTAGAGGGCCAGCGTCCTCTGCAGATGCTGTTGCATCCTCAGAAAGGAACTCACGACTGCTTCATTGCCAGAACGTTTCATCAGGAGATACACCGAGGCACTCGGGGCAGCCCGGCCAACTCTAAGCCTCGCAGGCCTCCGTCTCTTTCCTGTAGAATGGACCCGGCTGGGTCAGCCCTGAGGGTTCCAGGATCCTCCTGTCTCTGATGCCCTGGACTCGGTGCTGGGGCTTGCCCAGGTGGAGTGGAGTGGGTGGGTGGACAGGGTCACGGAGCCAGTCCTTGGGAGAGAAAGAGGCCAGGACAGTGGGGAGGCTGGAACCTCCATGGTGAAACCTCTCCAAGGCCCCTTCGGTATCCTCCCTCCTCCACCCTGAGCTGGGGGGTCCATCCTCCTCTAGCCTCTCCCTGAGCCTTAATCTCTCTCTCTGCAGGCTGCTCCCAGAGAAGAACTTCACTATGCCTCGGTGGTGTTTGACTCCCAGAGTCAGGGTTCTAACAGGATATCTGTCCAGAGGACCCAGGAGGAAGAACCAGAGTACAGCGTCATCAGGAAGACCCAGGCCTTCGTCCTGCCTCGTGAGCTGGAGGGCTCCTCGGGCCCCAGGGAGCCAGGGCCGGCCCCCTTAGCCCTGACCCAAGTCCCCTGCCCTTGACACAACGCAGGCAGCTGGGCTCCTCACCGCCGTCCCTGGGGTCATTGCCCCGGCTGGCTTTACCGAGGACAAGCAGGGATGGGGGCTCCGGGGGTCACAGGAAGTCCACCCAGTCTTGTCGCATCCTTCCTCTTCTCCCCTGCTTTATCCCGGTTCTGTGAGTGTCGGGGCACCTCCCTGTCCCTTGACGCCAGGAAAAAATGTGACACCTGAGAGTGGCCCCCCCGAAGGAATGTCTGGGACTACTTACGAGTGAGGAGAACTGACAAGAGGAGCCAAGAGAATGCGGAGGAAGTCATGTCCACAGAGGGACCACGGGGGTCACTACAAACCCAATTCCTCCCCATCTCACAGACTAGGAAAGGAGAGACTTGCTCATGCTCCTTTGGACTCTTAGGTTTATTTTTATGATAAGAGATACCAATAAAGTTTCAAAGATCTTATTAAGAAGGGAGAAGAAAAAAGTAATTTAAGCAATGCTCTAGCTTGAGCAACAAAGCATGGATCTTGTCTTTACAAAAAAAACCAAAAAGTTAGCCGGGCAAGGGGGTGTGCTTTTGTAGTCCCAGCTACTCTGGAGGTTGAGGCGGAAGGGTCGCACGAGTCCAGGAAGTTGAGGCTGTAGCGAGCTGTGATTCTGCCGTTCTAGCTTGGGCGCCAGAGTGAGACCCCAGCTCATAAACAAAACAAAACAGAAAACAACAACAATGTCTGCTATGTGCCTGCTCCGGGCTTTGATACCAGATGAGCACAGAGAAGTTTTGAGGATGCAGCAGGTTGGGGACATCCTGAGAAATGTTCTCTTGGCGACAGAGGGTCAGTCACGATTGCTTCTCTCCACTGTGGAAAATGTGTCAGAGTTCCATTGTCGGGAGATAGTACATTTGATGCAACCAGTCAACCCGGCTGCCTTGCGTCCATGGCAACCAATGACGGATTTTTCTGTTTCGCACATGTTTATTTATTTATTTTTTAGAGATGGGGTCTCGCTCTGTTGCTCGGGTTGGTCTCAAACTCCTGGGCTCAAGACAACCCCCCCACCTCGGCCTCCCAAGTAGCTGGGTTCACTGGCATCTGTCATCATGCCTGGCTCACAACACTCTTGAAATTACATTTATCATCCTCTCGGCCGTGTCAAGTCTCAGTGGTGGTTTTCTTTTAACAATGAACAGTGTTTTTGACCTTTTATTTTTTAGTAAAGAACCGTTGAAAGCAAGGGGCGTGTTTTACTTAAGTCAAGGGTTTTGTTTGTTTGTTTTAGAAGTCAGGGTCTCACTCTGTTACACAGGCTGGAGTGCAGTGGCACCATCACGGCTCACAGCAGCCTTGACCGCCTGGGCTCAGGTGATGCTTCCATTTCAGTCTCTTTTTTTTTTTTTGAGTTGGAGTTTCACTCTGTCGCTCAGACTGGAGTGCAGTGGCATGCTCCCGGCCACCTCAGCCTCAACCTGCTCAGCTCAGGTGATCCTTCTGCCTCAGCCTTCCAAGTAGCTGGAACTACAGGCATGCACTACCACACCCGGCTAATTTTTGATTTATTATAGAGATGAGGTCTCGTCAAGTTGCCCAGGTGGGTCTCGAACTCACGGGCTCAGGCAATCCACTCACCTCGGCCTCCCAAAGTGCTGGGATTACAGGCTGAGTCACCGATCCTGGCCATTTCAGCCTCTTAAGTAGCTGGAATTACAGGCGCATACCACCATGCCCAGCTAATTTAAAAAAAAAATTTTTGTAGAGATGAGGTCTCACTATATTGTCCAGGCTGGTCTTGTACTCCTGGACTCAAGCAACCCTCCCGCCAAAGTTCTGGGATTACAGCCAAGCCACTGCACCCAGTCAAGTCAAGAATTTTTGACCACTAACACTGCAACCCAGTTGTGCTTCTTAGGCAGTTTTCTCTCTGGGGTGCGGACCTGTTGCTTTCAGAAGATTCTTCAAGGGATTCGTGGCCGCCAGAGGGTGAAGACTCTCTACCCTGGTTAATGTTATTTTTTTGAGTTGGAGTCTCACTCTGTCGCCCAGGCTGGAGTACAGTGGCACACTCCCGGCCACCGCAGTCTCAACCTACTGGGCTCCGGTCCTTCCACCTCAGCCTTCCAAGTACCTGGAACTACAGGTGCACGCTACCATGCCTGGCTAATTTTTTTTTATTGTAGAGACAAGGTCTCACCAAGTTGCCCGGGCTGGTCTCCAACCCTTGGGCTCAGGCAACCCATTCACTTCGGCCTCCTAAAGTGTGGGCTTACAGGCTGAGCCACCGAGCCCAGCCTTATTTTTTTTAAACGAGTGTTCTGAGCTACAAAAGAGGAAATACATGCACACACAGACACACACTTGACCACTAGGCCCGGCTGTGAGTGGGGAGGGCTGGGAGGGGCTGGGTGTCGGCCACAGGGCCTGTGGGTGCCGATCACAAAGCCCAGGTGCTCTTGGCTCTGCCCCAAGCATGGAGAGAGGCCTTTCCCCTGAAGGAGAGCCATGGGCGTCGTCCTCACGGCTTACCCAAACCCCTCACAAGCAGACAGAACTCCATCCCACTAAGGAGGAAGTGGGGAAGCTGTGATCAAAAATAGTAACAGAAGGTTGGCCCCGAGGCAGTGCAGGCACAAATTTCAGAGCCCACCGTCACCATCATGGAGACTGGGCTGTGAGGTTGGGGGAGGGAGGAGGGCTGACTCCCCTCCCAGCGTTGCAACCCCACCTCCTTACTTTATTTCCTCTGTCTCGCCTGTCTCTCCACCCTGTCTGGGGCAGGCCAGTCCAAGGGCATTTTTCATTCATTCATTCATTCCACAGCATTCATGGACAGTCTGTTCTGTACAAGGCAGTAAACTGTCTCTAAGTCGCTGATCGCTTTGCATTTCACATTTAAGTCTTCAATCCACATAGAATCTGCTCCCCGTATGGGGTTAGGAAGAGATTCGGCTTGTCTTTCTCGACATAGAGAACCCGTGCTCCCAGCTCCATCCCCTAAGCAACCTCTCCTCGCTGATGCCCTGTGGGTCACCTTTATGGTCATACTTTAAGTTCTAATTATGAACGGAATGAAATACATTTCATGTAGGCATGGGTCGACCATACACTGGTTGAACTAATGAAGTGCAACGGGCTAGCCTCCGTCTTTCTGTTTTTCCATTGATCTGTTTGATCTTGTGCCAGTGACACCCCATCGTCTTTATTACGATGGCTTTATAGTATGTCTTAACATCTAGTCGGACAATTTCCTTTTAACTCTTTTGAAAGGTTGAATCAGCTACTCATAGACCTTTATTTCACTGTATAAATTTTTAAATGAGTTTATTAACTTCCTCAAAAAAATCCAATTGGAATTTTTATTGGGAGTGCATTGAATGTATTAATTAATTTAGGAAAAGTTGACATCTTTATAATATCAAGTCATCCAAAGTAAGAGCCTAAAATGTCTCCACTTATTCAAATCAGCTTCTATGACCTTTGGTGGGGATGTTACTGCGTCTCCACAGTCTTATGTATTCTTGGTAAAAATTAATACATTACCTTTATACCTAGAGGGATGACTAGGAAGATAAAATTTAAAGATTGCTGTTTGAGGCCGGTCTCGGTGGCTCAGCCTGTAATTTAAAGATTGCCATTTGAGGGCGGACTCCGTGGCTCAGCCTGTAATCCTAGCACTTTGGGAGGCCGAGGTGAGTGGATAGCCTGAGCCTGTGGGTTCGAGACCAGCCCAGGCAACTTGGTGAGACCTTGTCTCTACAATAAATCAAAAATTAGCTGGGTGTGATAGTGCACGCTTGTAGTTCTGGCTACTTGGAAGGTGGAGGTGGAAGGATCACCTGAGCCCAGCAGGCCAAGGCTGTGGTGGCCGTTGCATGCCACTGCACTCCAGCCTGGGTGACAGAGTGAGACTCAGACTCAAAAAAAAAAAAAAGATTGCTATTTGAAAGTCACCTTCCATTTGACAATATCAAAACTACAAGTACTTGACTCTGACCTTCTTGGACTTTCTTCTTCAGCTCTCCTTAAAAATATGCGGAATGGCATGTGTATGTCATAGCATAGTCAAGTGATGGAGTGTCATGGGATATTCGGTGGCATGAATATGCAGATATAAAATGATCTCCAAGATTGTTATGACATGAAAATACTAAGGTGCAGGGATGTTTGGTAGATTCAGGTAGGCCATATATTCACATGTATGTATGCGGTATATTAAATAGTTAAATATTTCAGGGAAAAAAAACAAGAAACTGTTAATACTGCCTACCTCTGGATGACTGGGGACAGACGTAATGACGAGGATGACTTTTCACTGTAAATTCTCCTATACATTCTGAGTTTTGAATTATGTCATATATTGCCTTTTTTTTTTTTTTTTTTTGAGTTGGAGTCTCACTCTGTCACCCAGACTGGAGTGCAGTGGTCGCTCCCAGCCACCGCAGCCTCAACCTGCTGGGCTCCGGCGATCCTTCCGCCTCAGCCTTCTGAGTAGCTGGAACTACAGGTGCGGGCTACCACGCCTGGCTCATTTTGATTTATTGTAGAGATGAGGTCTCGCCAAGTTGCCCAGGCGGGTCTCGAACCCACGGGCTCAGGCAATCCACTCACCTCAGCCTCCCAAAGGCGCGGGATTACAGGCTGAGCCACCGAGCCTGGCTCTAATTTTTAATAAATAAAAATAAAACTTTGCAGGTGGCCAGGTACGGTGGCTCATGCCTGTAATTCCAGGACTTTGGGAGACTGAGATGGGAAGATTGCTTGAGCCTAGGAGTTTGAGACCAGCCTGGGCAACATAGTGAGACCTCATCTTCGTAAAAAATTAAAAAATTTGCTGGGCATGGTGGTGTGTACCTATAGTCCCACCTACTCTGGAGGCTGAGGCGAGAAGATCACCTGAGTCCAGGAGGTCAAGGCTGTGGTGAGCCATAGTTATGCCATCACATTCCAGCCTAGGCAATAGAATGAGAACCCAACTCAAAAAAAAAAAAAAAGAGAGCCAAGTAAGTAAAATGTAAGTTGCAGCA